TTACTTATGAATATATTAATAAATTAAGTTTGGCAAAATAGGGCAGGTTTTTTTTCACATTTTTTAGTAAAAGAGTATTGCACTCACTACAAAAGCTGGGATTTAATGTGATAGGTATATACAACAAAAATGAGATTCATACCGCTTAGCAATTTTTGAGCATTTAGTTTTAAATATCGTCTGCGAAATCTACAAAAATACCTTATTTCTGCAGGCTTTTGCTTACAAAATGGGTTTCAAAATTTTGCTATTTCACGAATAAATCCAAATAAATTTAATATTTTTTGTATTAGATACACTGAATGGAAAGTGTATATAACACCATAATACTGCTGGGTACAAATTATAAGACAAAATGTTTTAAATTTGCATTGGTTATTTAAAATCGCACTAAGACGATTGGACTGTATAACATATTACATCATAATATAGCTAAATTGTTCAATATAATTTCCCTTTGAAGTAAATGAAGGTCTTATTTGAAAGCAAAATGATTTTGTAATAATTTGCTTGTGCCATTCATCTTGTCTATATAAAATTTGTAAGGCTTTAATAGTTAATTTAACTGCATTTTCTACATCTTACAAATGTGCTGGTAAAATCTGCAACTCTGGTGTCGTTCTATATATTATAAGCACTCACAGTTCACTATTTGAAATACCTTCCGCAAGCGCTGATTCACAAACGGCATTTTGTGAAAAGAATAATCAAATTTGTACATTGTGTTGCTTCAGAGTTGATGAATATAAATTTTTAATCTCTTATTTGGTGGCTCACTACTTCTGAAACAAAAATTATTTTCATTAGAAAATTTACCAATATTTGGTTATATTTTTGTGATGTAATTTTATTAATTTTACATTCTGTAGAAGAAAATTGTAACTGAATTTATTTCTATATATGAACAACACATTTGTTCTTATCCTATACTTATATATATATATATATATATATATATATATATATATATATATATATATATATATATATATATATACATATATATATATATACATATATATATACATATATACATATATATATATATATATACACATATATATATATATATATATATATATATATATATATATATATATATATATATATATATATATATATATATATATATATATATATATATAGTATTGATTGGTGTATACGGAATAAATTCCAATAATCAAAATAATATTCTTAAAAGAGTGCTCAATACAGAGTAGAGCAAATATAATTTATTCGAAACTTATAACATTAACACTTTATAAAATCACTACAAAGTATGTTATAATTATCGAATAATATATATATATATATATATATATATACAAATGCAATAAGTAGGAATCAAATATACATTCAAAACTTCATAATATTAATTTAAAAAAGGGCTCAGTACAAATGTAGAGCTGTAATTGTTTATTATAGGTTATTACATTCGAACATGCATCTTCGAATGTAATATCATATAATAAAGAATATATATATATATATATATATATATATATATATATATATAAAGAAATATAGTCTTAAGGTGTGCTATATTTATGGGATAAAGTGCTCAATATCAGAGATAGAGCGTGTGTAAATATAAAAGTGAACATAGAAGTCAACACTTAGAGGCGACAGTCTGTTTCATGCTATATGCAATCGTCAGGCCACGTGTGCTGTTATTTTTCTCGGCTATTTATATATATACGGGTTAGTGGTGCATTGTGGGTATTCTATTATGGCGGTTATTTTTACCGGAAGTCGCTTTGTTCATTTATTTGGGTCAAGTTATATTGCTCGTTTTTATACGTCTATATATATTTTAATAAATTATTAAATAAATTATTAAATAAAAGATCCGAGCTCATCTCAAAATGCAGGCATGAAAATAAATTTTTACTACGTAACCTAAAAAATGAAAAACGGAAAAAATAAAATAAAAACAAATACAATAATAATAATAAAAATAAATAAATAAATAAATAAATAAATAAATAAAATAAATAAATAAGTACTATATTTGCTTAAAAACCGAAAACCAAAAAGAGAAAATATAAAAATAAATTGACCTAAATTCATCCAAGTAAATAAATAGGCAAACCAATCCCAAATTAAAAAACTGTTCCCGCCAAAAAAAATAATAGTTAGAATGAACTACAACAACCAACCCCAAAAATTGAACAAATAGCTTTAATTAAATTCTCAAACCAAAACAAAACTGTTAAATACGTGATATAAACAAATTTGTACTACGTTAATAAATAAATAAATAAAATAAGAAACAAAAAATAAATAAATAAATAAATAAAATAAAATAAAATTAAAAAAAAAAAACGAGCAATATAACTTGACCCAAATAAATGAACAAAGCGACTTCCGGTAAAAATAACCGCCATAATAGAATACCCACAATGCACCACTAACCCGTATATATATAAATAGCCGAGAAAAATAACAGCACACGTGGCCTGACGATTGCATATAGCATGAAACAGACTGTCGCCTCTAAGTGTTGACTTCTATGTTCACTTTTATATATATATATATATATATATATATTAGAGTGTGCAGGTTTTATATTATATCATAAAGATGTAAATTATGCATAGACTAAATTAGCAATGTTAATGAGATTAATGACAAAATCCCTCACTTTGCTAACAAGAAATAATGAGACATTAACTGTCAATTCCGTGAATAAATCGATCCTTATATTTGAGTTCTTGTGTATTTTAGTTGTTATCAGATGCAAATGACGAGCCTAGTACTTTCGACAATTTCAAATTGTCATCTTCAGCGTGCAATTTTTTTTTCCATATACAGGCAAATTCTTTGTATAAATTACTTTATTATGATATAAAAGCTGCACACTCTAATATATTTACGAAAATAAATAAGATCCACAGTACGTAAATTCGGAATCTTAAATTCTGTGGAAAAATACTAAAACAATTTACTAATTGTCACTTTAACTGAAAAACATATATAACAACCATATTTCGTGGCTTTTATCACATTACAAAATTCAAACAAAATTCTCACTTTATTGATTTGAGCTAGAATTCTAGCGTTACGGCATCGCACGCTACAAAATAATATAACTATAAATAAATAGCATATTTAAAAAAAAAACATCTTTCGGTCTACACTACACACACACATTTCGTCTTGGTACAAAGAATTTGCCTGAATATGGGAAAAAAATTGCGCCCTGAAGATGATAATTTGAAATTGTCAAAAGTACTTAGCTCGTCAAGCCCATTTGACAACAACTCAAATATAAGGATCGTATTATTTAAGAAATTGATAGTAAGTTAATGTCTCATTAAGTCTTGTTTTTGCCATTAATTTCATTAACATTACTAATTAATTCTTTGTATAAATTGCTTCTTTACGATACATATATATATATGTATATATAAATATGTTTGCTACCTCTTCGTTATCATTGGAACTGTTGGTATGACGTTTGCATGATAACCTAACTGTCAGGGTTTCAATTCTCGGTGTTGGATGCGCACTGCTGATGGCTGTCCAGTGCTTTCTGCATTCTGTTGAGGTTTCAGACTGGATGAATTACTTATATATATATATATATATATATATATATATATATATATATATATATATGTATATATATATATTTCTGAGATGAGGTATTATGTACACTATTTAGATTATTCGGACTATCGTCCTCATCTTTGTCGCCATATTTATTACAACGTTTCGGCCGTTGTACGATCCGGCCTTCTTCAGATGGTTGGAATGTCGAACTGAAATCTTTATTTCGCTCACTGGGGTAGACTGTTCTAGTTCCACGTGCCATGTCTAAGGGATGCCAGTTATCAGTTATCTCCTGTTAATTCCCCTCAAGTTCTCCACAGCCTTAACCAGGTATTGAACTTACATTCTTTGAGTCCTGTCACAAGATCTAACCAACGCCTTTATCCATGTCGGAACGTACAACGGCCGAAACGTTGTAATAAATATGGCGACAAAGATGAGGACAATAGTCCGAATAATGTAAATATATATATATATATATATATATATATATATATATATATATATATATATATAATTATTTATTCAAAAACTATAACATAAATATGTTATAAAATATCTACAAAAATAGCCACTTTGTTTCAACACCTCTGGTGTCTTATCAAGTGTTGATGTTGAATGTAGATTGTAGAATAAAGGTTTTAAAAGGTTCAAATTAATTAACCACCCCTCGTAAGGGGCAACGCTGTCACATGAGCTGAAATGACCAATCAAAATACAAGTATACGAGAATTCTAAAAACTTGACAATGATGTAAGGTTATAATAACTATGAAATGCTTTAAAGTTGGGTTTATACTAAAATAGAATTTATTCTAACTAATAAGGATTAAATTGTACGATAAAATTTGAAATTAAAATTAAAAACTACCCATTTCAAAAATGTAAATTTAATCTATATTAAGTTTAAAATTTTAAAATTATTGAGGAAAAAAATACATATGTTGTTCTATTTATTATGTTTCTATTGAAATTACGTTGGAATAAACGTTAAGATCGACTGCCCTTAATATTTTTCAGCTCATGTAACAGCGTTTCCCCTTACGAGTGGTAGGTTAATTAATTTGAACCTTTTAAAATCTTTATTCTACAATCTACATTCAACATCACCACTTGATAAGAGACCAGAGGTGTTGAAACAAAATGGCTATTTTTTTAGTGATTTTACAACATATTTATGTTATAATTTTTAAATAAATAATTATATTCGCTCGACTCTGTATTGAGCACTCTTTTAAGAATAGTAATTGTTGGTTATCGGAATTTATTCCGTATACACCAATCATATACCTGGATATATATATATATGGCCGGTGCGTACTACCCACCCCCTGCTGAATCACGCGACCAGATGGGAGAAAGTTTGAGTGGGTCCCCGGGCAGTGCTTTCACTA